ACCGAAAGTGGCACAGCCCCCAGAAGAGCACCACCGTGCATCGGTGTCAGGGCGTTCCGTTCGGTCGCCAATGCCGGCGTGCATACCCGGTGGTTCTTCACCGCCTCGGCGCTAAAATGGCGATCGAAGTGACAGCTCTCGCCTCCTCCTCGGCTCGGGTTTGGTCGAGCAGCCGCTCTTACGACACGATACTAACACGCACCGACTATAACTCCCTTCATCTCTCTCTTTCCCCTTTCGGTTTCCAACTCGCTCCGATCATTCTGCTCTTTTTACTCTTTTCATCCTCCTAACCTTTCTCTCCTATTTCATACACACGCATGCACATACACACTCTCACGGCACGCGGCACAACAGAATATAAGAAGGTCGATGGTTCGAATCGTTTTCCCCTTGGGCCGATCGAAAGGGGGTTGCCGGGATGCGTACCACGCGAAACCGTCGACGAAATCACGATAGATTTTCACAGACACCGGGTGGAGGATGCTTGTCGATGGCGGCTCGAAATCTCAGTCCCGGACGACGCCTACACCACCACCACGTACCACCGTTAATAGCTGTGCTTGCCCGGACTCACGGGACTCGACTGGGCTCCGCCAGGCCACCATATCCCCGCCGCACTTGCGCCAACCGGCTATTGCTCCTACCCTTCGCGAGCATGTACTAACCGTTTCTCGTTCTTACGCCCACCCCCAGCGCAGTTCTATTAACCGTGCAGACTAACTGAACCCCTGCGGAGCTCCCACGCCCGCGAAACAGCCAATGCCCGAGCCTCTACCGCAGGACCGTCTAACCTTCCACAAGGGCGCCAAGTCAATGAAAACGTTTAACGTTTGTCAACGAACGATATTCTTCAAACATGGTTACAGAAAGAATAGTATAAAAAAATAGGGTAGTTAGGTGTCTAGGATTTTGTCAGGGGGTTGAAATTTGCCACCCCATTAGAAATTTATGTATTGGAAATCGGAATTGCTAAATAGCAACAGTGTAGAGAGAAGAAATTAAGGTTTATAGTTTTTTAATCAAAGATTGTAGAGGTTGAATAATAATTATTTTTGTTAAAAGCAACAGGGCGAAGGGATAAAGGGGTTGCGTGGTGTGCAACAGATTTTTCTACCGCGACCGCGGGCAGTGGGAACGTAAGCTTTCAGTTTAGTAATTTACTAATTACTCCATTTTACAAAATTGGGACGTCGGTCAATGGAGAACCCCATTTCAGCCAACGCGTTAATATTGTATTAATTACGGAAGTTAGCGGGTGGAAAGTTTGAATAATTACGATTATAGCGTACTGAATATGTAAGTGTAATAAGAATAAAAAGAGAAATAAAGTGGAGGATATGAGAAGAAGACTCTGTAAGGTATGGAAAGGGAATGATGATGATCGTTTGACGAAGGCATCCGCGAGAATGAGATTCTCCTATACGGGGTTGACTGTTTAAATTTTTCTACCTCTCTTTGAAGATACCGGCTTTGCCGTTCGCTCGCTTAAAATCCGTTCCTCCTACATCGATCACATCCTGTACAGAACCGTACCTTAACGTTGATTTCTCATTGTAAGGGACTGTTCAACGATTTCAAATACCTAATATTTAATATAAATGGTAGAAAATAATTTCTATTAATTTGCATGAGCAAAGTGCTACATCTGCAATGGATTGCAGGACTCTACTATTCGAGGTCCTGCGACGCCATCTTAACTCCATTTTTACATCTTTAAATTTGTAATTGTAGATGAAAGTTCACTCAATAAATACTTATAAAAATCTATTTCGTATCTTTTATACTTTTCAAGAAAACCATCCTAAAAGTTACCTATCATTTTGAGGTCGTCAGGGTAGTGCAACCCCCTTATCTGGATTGCCAGACAGAAGCTATTAAAAATTGCATTGCTTTGCACAAATAATACCTAAAATATTCCTAATTAGATAAGTAAAGGGATTTCTAATAATATGGATGATAAATCCTATGTCACCCCCTATACTTGGCAGTGAATGCGTTTAAGAGTTAAGGGTTCTGTGAAATATTGAAAAGAGAAGAGATTTGTAAATGGATGAAAGTCGTGTCCCAAAAGAGTAATCGATTAAAATTACGTGAAACAGAGTTGCGATTCTCGCGGCAACGATAGATGTCGTTTTCGTTATTTATGCGCATAGCATTGGTTTAATTCGATTTCGGGACCAGCGGCTGTCGGAGATCAAAGTTCTGTCCCGTCGATTTCCTGCCGTTCAATCGGAGCGCAAAATATCAAGCCGTGCGAACCGTAATTGAATCTGTACCAGCAACCGAATCAGCGCGACGGCCAATCATTACATTATACGAGTCACTCCCGGCGATCGACATTCGTTAGTCAGTCGTTCGTGTAATTGTTGGCTTACTAGTTTCACGTTTAAGCTGTTGGTTTGTAGTTTGAAATACCAGATAAACGTTAACAATGCGAGGCGCAACGACACTGTTCGACGAAAGAAACACGACCATTGTTCGTTAGATAACCGGACGCAACGCAGATAACCCTTACAAAACGAAGGGTGTTCCGTTTTAATCTATAAATGCATACGTCGCGAACAGAACGTTGAATCACAAAACTCAAACGCGTAGGAGCTCGATAATAGATTGAAATAGCAAGGAATATCTTTCAAATTCAACTTCTAACGATAGGGCTTTCAAAGTATTCGATTGGTTAACAAAATATTGTCTTTGTCAATTTCAAATGATAGAAGAATCAAAGTCGACGCCGTCATTTATCATTTCCCCTCGACCCTTATACCTTTTTTAGGTTCGAAGTACACCGATTGAAAAATTAAAATGAGACAGCTTGTACACAGTTCAGAAACTCACGTCTACATTTTAGGTAGAATGAAAAATTCTCTGTCATGATTTGATGACATAAAAGTATCATAAAATAGCGTTGTTCATTGAACCAAACGACTGAAAACAGATGAAAATCTCTCAAACTCCTGCTAGTCAATTAACGATTAAAATATCTAATAAGTTAAAAATCTAATAAAAAATTTTCCCGCAAATATATGCAGCAAAGTACAGAATTGAATTAGAATTGTGGCTCTCTCCATGGTCCGCCATCCGCGGGGTTAAATGAAAAGCCGAGTACCATAGTTACAAAACAACCATGATTTGCTTATTAACACAAGAGTTATAGTATCTGAATAGAAGAATATTATCTTTCCCTGGCGAGTTTACGAGAGACAGAAACACGGAGACAGATAATGATACATCCTGACACGTCGACACAGGCGAAGATTACAGAGATTAAAGTCGTCCCACAGGTTTGGGAGCGTCGGGAATGTAAAGTTGTTGCTTTGTTACCACGGTAAACAGTAGGAAAGCGGTGGAAATTAGTCGTTCGGCTAGGGCCAGTGGCAGGAGTGGCACCGCGATAATTAGGTTTCACTTGGTTCGCTTTAATAATCCAGACAACATGCAAAGTGCATTGCTGGGATCCTTGCATCCGTGAAAGCATGCGGTGTAGGTGTTGTGTGTCGCCTCGTGTCCATGAGCAACGTTAACCCCTTCCTCCCTCCCTCCCTTCCTTCCTGATGGTTGACAAATTTTGTTAGAGGACAGCCGAAATTATTAATACCTTTTCCGCGGGCAGGCCGAGAACGAGGCGCGAAATTAGCAAGGCCAAAAGCGGTACACGATGCGATACAAGCGAGTCGCAATCGAGATAATGAAAATTAACGACGTTAAAGCGACGTCACGCTCGTAATTAATTATCGTGGCCCGTTTGCTCGTTGTCGATCGGCTCTTTGCGCATCGGACCCTTCCCATAGGCAGAGAGAGAGAGCCATAATCGCGATATCAATCCTTCATTAATTCCTCACCGCACGGATGGCACGTCGAAACTCTTCCACTCTTCGACGCCGCGATTAATTCCTCAAGACGTTCTATATATCTATATATGCATGAACCCACCGGTTCTATGAATTATACATCACCAAGCCGGCACCCTCGCCGCGAACTTTCTTGCCGCGGATGATCGTTCTTGCACTCGGCGAGATAGATAAGACAAGTAAACTTGCTTCTTTAATAAACGCCCTCGTAAATTGCTTAGGTAGTACAAAGGATTGATCCAGAAACGGATAGATCAATTGTTAAAACTCTTCCTAAGGGAAGGGTTTCCCGCAGAAACTCTGGGGTCATTTGAAAAATTTCGAATGCTATCAATATTACTTTAGTCATTTTCCTATCCAAAATAGAATTATTGAGAAATTTGCATTTCGCAGATTCTCACCTAAAAACCACTCCTCCAAATGCAAACACCCCCGTAATATTACTATTCTGATTTTATTATCCGGCTCTTTGTTGACCGTCGATGCTCATAATATATCAAAACGCATTCGGGCAAGCTGAGTGTAACGAACTTTCTTATCTCGTTTACTCTTCGCCGGATTTCCATATCTCCCTTTTTCCACGGACCATCCGACACGCTTGAAATCTACTCCTCGATAATGTGAAATCGCATCCTCCGCAGCCCACGCAGCACGACCGATTTATGTTAGAGAATGCACTGTGCGATGGCAACGAGTGAAGGACACTTTCGTGTGAAGAATTTGGAAAAAATTTCATTCTGGAATGTTGTTTTCATAGAAGCATATTTTATCTTTGCATCGTAGTGCAACTATCATTTCAGACTGATCATCTATTATAGTATTCGTCATTGTACGGTAGCCGATAGCGAATGCCAGGCTGTATCGTAAATTCTTCTATTGATATGGACACAATAAGCTAGGCACGTTTTCATAGGATTTGATATACGTGCAAATGTATGTACAATTAAGACTTTAATCCGGTTAACGAGCATAACAAATGCTTTGCTTGAAATTTCAAATCATCTATCGAACATCTGGTGTTCAAAAGGCTCGACATTAGGCAGACACGTGCTAAACACGTGCACGGGGTGAGTATTGTAAAAGAAAATAAGGGAAAATCTTGTGAAAAGGGTGACTCGATTTCGAGAATTTTGAAGATGACAAGCGACGTTTCATTTCGTCAAAAATTAACATTTTATTTTGTAACTTTTCACATTAGATGAGTACTCAATTATTAAGTGCTAATGAAATTCATCGTCTAAATATTCGTTGTAATTTGTAAAATACAGGTGTTGTTACAACCACATCCATTATTAGATACTGTACGTTTTTTGGATCAGGTTCAGATTCCATCACCGCTGTTTCTTTGTACAACAATGATGCTTCTGGACTACCCATTTTCACCCTGAATTTTCTCCTAAGCAAATTAGCAGCAGTCATAATTTCCTCCTCTATTTTAGACTGTAACTCATCAATTCCTGTGGATTTCACAGAAGAAACAATGAATGTATCTTCTGGTAAAATATCTTCGTCGATATTCCTCTTTTCAATGATGTCACACTTATTGGCAACATTAATGATCACCTTATTTTCCTCTATCATTGGTCTTATTGTTTTCTGAACATGCTCAATTTGTGCTTGAATATCAGGATGACTTATATCAAATATATGTATCAAAATATCCTATAAAAAATTAAGAAGATTAACTTGAAGTTTTCCTAAGTTCCAAGGTGGTCATAGATATAGTTATTTAACATACTGCATTTATAGCATCTCGTAACGTTACTGTGAATGGTTCTATTAAAGTTTCTGGTACATCCTGAATAAATCCGATTGTATCGACGTATAATACTTTTAATTTATTGGATAGGAATCCTTGATGTACTGTGGTGTCCAAAGTAGCAAATAATTTATTTTCAGGTTGCAAACGTGCATCCCCTGTTAATGCTTTTATCAGAGATGTTTTTCCTGCATTTGTGTACCCAACAACAGCTATGCTTGGAAAACCATAATTATTTCTATTTGTTTTCTTCAATTCTCTATATTGTTTCAATTTTTCCAAGGCATTTCTCAATTTCTTTTCTCTATCTTGAAGTATTTTTCTTCTTCTCTCATCTAAATTTATCCTGCCCATACGATAAGTAGTAAAATCAATCATTTTCTTTCTTATATATGGCAGTTCTGCTAAGGCTACTTGCAACTTTGCTTCTGGAGTATGTGCATGTTGTCGAAAAATATGAATAACTATAGAGTACCGGTCATAAACTGGCAAGTCAAAAGCTTTCTGTAGCTCAGAAATTTGTATAAATTTTAATAAATTTGTACTAACAAATATTGATCTAACTTGTATACAATTTCTGATTTCCTTCTTCAGAGTATCAAGAGCCCCAGAACCAACTAATTGTTTTCTTTGTAAACTGAGTAAAGGAACAAGCTTTTCACCAATGACTTTCCAATTTGGTAAAGTATTGATCAGTGCTATTGCCTCTGCTAATTGTAATTCAGGTGTTGTATTTCTTTTCTTATCTCTACCCCATTTTATATATGGCTGTATAACAAATACTCTATTTTCATCGATAAGGGACCCTAAACAATTTTCAGATAACTCCATATAAGTTCTTTTTTCTTCATCATTTTCTTCATATCCCTCATATTCTACATCAAAATCAGATTTATATCGCCGAATAACATTTAATATATTAAATTCTTTTTTCCTCTTCAGTACATACTGAGATTTGTTTATAACATGAAAAATTTGTTTCAGATACTGCATTGTTCATTAATTATAACAGAAAATAATGTATAACCCAATATCTTTGTATTAATTAAAATTCCTTTATACTATTTAACTACTTAGATATAAATTAAATGCAAAATAATTGTTAGGCAATATGATTTTATAACCTCAAACTTATTAACAGCATGTTGTTCATGTGATTAATATTAACAAATTCATAATTGACGAAGTTGTATTACATTTCCATTAAGATTTATGATGAAATATGCAATAAACGTAAAATGTTATCTACATACAAGAGTACAAACAAAAATTTTAAACTTCAATACCTAACCTTTCTCAAGACATAATTCATTACATGTATTATTTAATAAACATAATGTTAAAAAACCTCTCTATTACTATAGTAATTATGAGCTTTTTAAAAATATAATCGTAACAAATTATAAATTTAATTGTACTGTTATGTTTAATGCAATAACAGCGAATGTATTACTGTATACATTTCTTATCAAACTATTACAGTGTGCTTTTAGAAGCTGCTACCAGATAATAATTTTCATAATCTGTACATATTATAAATAAATAATCACATAAACTTTATATTTTGCGATAATACACTTATTTGCCCGCTTTAAATTCAAGATTCGGCTACCTCCACCTCCGAATAGACGTTCCTGCCACGTGACTAGCTTTATCACGAAACTGACAAGGTGTCAATCTTCGGAGTGCGAATTGTACCTTCCCAAAATTAAACGTCAAATCTAATTCTGTTTTAGGCAAAAATGGAACCGGGAACATTAGCGAAAGTCTTGTCTGATTTTTTTACAACCGTCGACGGGGAATTAAGTTTAAATAAGGGGGAATACTTTTTGGTAATTGAAACAAATATGTGTATATGAATATTTACATATAACCCTATTAAAAAACATTAAATTACATCATTTCCCATATATTATTAAAACAGGTATACAGTGTCACAGATAAACACTGGTGTTATGGAGAGTCTCGGGGTAGAACTGGGAAATTTCCCTCAAGTCGTTTACACAAAGTAGATATTCCAATACTACAGGATTCAGATGTTTTGTTTGTATCAATTGCTGCTTTTCCAGGACAGCAGGATGGGGATCTGTCTTTTGCTCAAGGTGATTTATTCAACAGATATCTAATAACATCTATTTTCAATAGAGATTAATAGATGCATTATGAATATAGGAGAAATTATTGTTGGAATGCAAAATGTGGGATCTGGATGGTACTTAGGACAAACAGATGCTAAAAAGGGTATTTTTCCTCTAACTCATACATGGCAAATTGATACTAAGTTGTTGAAGGTACTTCATTTATAATGTGATGAATATTTTACTAACAAAATAATTTGTTTAGAAGTAACATGCCTATTAATATTTCCAGAAAGCTATAGAAAAGAAGACTATAAGAAAGAAGGCTAGAATAAAAACTAATTTGAAAGCACAAATTGAAGGAGAACTTGATTTAGTTGAAGGTGAAACAGTCACTGTTACAGAAATTCTGGGAGATGGATGGTGTTCTGGAGTAACAGAAGATGGCAAACAGGGAATATTTCCAGAAGCATTTGTGTCTTATATTACTGATTCTGATGAGCAATTAGACACAGTCTGTGCAATGGACAATAATTCTTTTGTTGCACCAGTAACTTATAATAATACAACATATGAAAACATTGAAGAATCACAGCTTGAAAACTCATGTAACGAAGAACCTGCACCAAATTACTTTGATTTATTTCCTGAATTTAAAACAGTTACTTCAGAACCACTGGAAAGTTCAGAAAATAATAACAATCTCAATACATTGGATGTAAAACCATATGCTATCACTTTATACCCATTTAATGCTCAGTTTCCAAATGAGCTTAGCTTTGGAGCAGGAGAAGTAGTACACCTAATTAAACACATAGATTCAGAATGGATGGAGGGTACAATAGATAATGAGAAAGGAATCTTTCCTATATCTTATGTTAATATCATAGTGGACTGTAATGAAGTTAACAATGAACAAAGTCTATTTAACCAAGATATAAATAATTTAGAATATGACGAATTAATGCCTGGAACCAAAGTCAAAGTAGAGTATACTTTCAAAGCTCAAATGGATGGAGATTTGAGCATTGTTGAAGGTGATACAGTTACAGTAATTAACATGGCAAACTCAGATTGGGTTAATGTTGAAGATCAATCTGGTCAAATTGGTTTATGTCCAAGAGGATATTTAAGCGCTTTGCCTGCAGAATCATCAGATACTGCTCAAAGTGATTTCGAAGATTTTGTGGTAGTACGACATAACGAGGCAATTCCTAGAACAACCGAAGAACAAAAGCCTAAAAGACTTTCAGAACCCCATAGACCTGCGCCACCGGTACCAGCTCCCGGTAGAATGCCATTGCAAAAAGAAACAATGGATAATAATTCTATAAATGTAAATCAACAACTTGACGTTGCTAGTATCGGTAATTTAGAGATTAAACAGAAAAACGCAGATCAGAGACAGAACGTCATATCAGAATTAGTCATTACAGAAAAAGAATACGTTCGGGATCTAAAATTAACATATGAAACATTTAACTTGTACAATCCAAGTATACTTGAAGCTCTAGGGATAGATGTAACCACATTATTTGGAAATATTTTCGAAGTTATTCAGGTTGCAGAAGAATTGCTGGATCTGATACTAAAAGCAATGAAAGGGTGTGATGAGGAATTACAAACTATTGGTCCTTGTTTTATGAAAATGGCTGAGAAGTTAAAGAACGTATATGTGAAATATTGTGGGAATCATGAAGCTGCCTTGGCATTGTTGAAGAAGGTAATATTTTTATAAAATCTTTCGTATTTAATTTTATGTTTAAATAATATATAATTTCAGTATGAAAATAATGAAGAGATAATGACAGTATTTAACAAAGGTATCGAATCATTACGCTATCAAGTAGCTTGTTTCGATATGAGTTCTATTCTTATAAAACCTGTACAGAGGATATTAAAATACCCCCTTATTTTATATGAACTGGTGAAGGTAAGTGAATATAATATACTTCAATGCTTTATAAAATTCTTTAAAATCAGACAGAGATTTTTTAGTGTACCGATGATAATCATCCTGACAAACGTGCAGTGGAAGAAGCATGGAAGACTATGACTGCTGTTGCCAGTCATATTAACGAATATAAACGTCGAAAAGATTTGGTATCAAAGTATTTGGGCAACGATAACACATTAATAAGAAAAATGGCTAAACTCAATATGCATTCTGTCGCAAAAATGTCTACTAGATTAGGTACCCGATTAAGCGCAAGTTTAGGATTAACAAACGTTGCCGTTAATCCAGAATTCGAAGAGTTGGAAAAACAGTTTAGATCGGTTGGAAAATGTACTTTGCAATTAGCTAAAGATGTTGATCTGTGCCTTACATATTTAAGCGACGAAGCTATCTCTGGGGAAGTAATATCAGATTTTTTGATTCAATACTATCAAGGAACACCGAATACCGAAGCAAGGAGGCTCAGAGATATAAGATCGACAATTTGGTCGCAATTCATACAAGAATTAAAAGCGTGTCTTAAAGATAGAGTTAGCACACCGATAAACTTTCTGGCAACACTATTAGAAGGGCCTGCTGTATTAATAACAAAAAGATACGATAAGCTGCTTGATTATGATGCAGCTATTTCTAAAAGTGAAAAGTATAAGGATTCAAGAATTGTAATTATTTTATCTTTAATTACTTTTCATGATAATCTAATTACAAAGTATGTAAATTTGGAAATAATTTATTTCACCCAGGTACAAGATGAATTAGCAACAGCAAAAAGCAATTATGAAGCTTTATCACAGCAGTTGTTAGAAGAATTGCCTATTCTCATTGATGCGGCTACGGAAATATTAGTTGACTGTGTCGGTGCTTTTGCACAAGCACGAAAATTGTTATGTGGAAAAATTACTAAGAAATATTTAACTCTTTGCGAGGTATTTTAAACGAAACAATAACTAATATTTATAAGCGTATTACATAGAAAATTAATTTGCATTTATATTTGCAGACTACAACTCAGCTTTCATCTCAAGATATTTTGGAATCATTTTTAGTTAATCATAATCTATTATGGAATCAGATAACACGTTTTGCATTTGCTGGATCAAACCCCAGAATAGAAGAAGCACAGTCTTCATGGTGTCCACAGAGTGAAAAACAAAGAATTGCATTAAGGAACAAATATTCTAGCGATAAATTATGTGTTGTGACAGAAAATATAGTCAGCACCTCATCTTTGGACATGGGTGCAGCTTGTGGAACTTTAGTTGCAGTAATAAAGAAACAAGATCCTATGGGTGATGCATCTAGATGGTTTGTAGATAATGGGGTTGCTCAAGGATTTTTGCCTGCTAAAAGTTTGCAGATTCAACAAACACCACAGTCTGAATCATCCAATGAAATTACTACCCCAAATAAACCTAACAGTACAAATATGCCTGATTTAATTTGCATGGATTCTCCTGAGAAGGAACAGAAAACTACTCAATCACATTTGAAAGAATTACTTGAGCTCGACATTAACAAAGAAACCCATTGTTATGGTAATATTGAACAAGTTCCTAGAGTTCAACAGTATCAAAACCTGAATTATGAGGTATGTACTAATGAATTGTTCAGTCTAACATCAACACTTATTAGAATATTTATGAATTTAATTATTTCAGTTTTACTATGCAAAATATGATTTTTCTGTAAATATTACTGGAACATTGACCATTATTAAAGGGCAAGCATTAAGGCTTGTTAGACCTCATGATGAGAAAGGAAATGATGAATGGTGGCTAATGGAAGATAGATATGGTAATAAGGGTTACGTACCCCAAAATTATTTACGCGAACCACCCACAGGAAAACAATAAACTTATAAATGAAATTTCATTTATATGCTAATTTATATCAGCTTATGCGCTAATGTATTAAATTGTTGATAGTTTCTTAATTTATGCAATATTGTAAAAATTTCAATTCACTATTCAAACAGTGAATATTTTAAATCATTGCTAACATAGAATATTAAATGAACAGAGATTATTTGTGATTCAACACAAATCATTCATATTTTAACTTCATGCAAAAGTATTTTAACATTTTCTGCTTATAGTACTTATGCTTTCATACTTTACGCTTAAATGTACTTTTCCATTACTTATAATTTGTATATATACATACATGTATTAGAAAGTTAAAAAATATATAATTTTAACTACAAAGATAATATGCCAATTCTGTGATAATTCAAATATGTATTATTTTAAATATTCTTGAAATTTTATTTTATTATATAAATGTATTATGTGTCTATGGAATAATATATGAGAAATACACTGTACATATTTTCTAATTGATTTTGTAAACTTTATGTACGATTTTAACAACATTTTATATACATGAATGTATATTGAGATATATTTAAATTCCACATTAAGAAAATTGTAAAAGCATTAATAAAAGTACAAACAAAATTTTAAGCACTTACCATTGCGACTTCCAACCTCGTGCTCCAATCGTCCAAACTGTTGGAGTTTTGAATCAAATACTTGTATTCACCTTGTACGGCTTTTCCGACGAACATGTTTTCAAATTGACACGGTATCTGCAAAAAAATCCGTTGCCGATATTTATTGTTAGTCGATGACCACATCTTCGTAATGCAAAGTCACGTGACAACAATCAACGGTTTTTCATAACGCGATTACTGGAATAATCGAAATTGCTACTTTACTTCAGTACGATAATTTACTTTTTACAAAATAATACCTCATTGACGCGTAGCACTTGATTTTCAATAGAAGTTGATACAAGAATTTGGAAAGACTGATAAATAACGAATAATCCTCGAATTAAAGATATATGTATTCGTTTCCCGCGATTTTGATGATGACGCAGGACGTAGGGACGCGCTGAATCGATTATCGATTAGTACGATCAGACGATGGAGGAATAATAGGGGTTAGACTCGATTAATGAATTTCATATCAGAAATTATTTATAAAGTAATACTAGGTATATTATTTCTTGTAATGCAAAGTCACGTGACAATAGTCAACGGATTGTCATAACGCGATTACTGGAATGATCGAAATTGCTACTTTACTTCAGTACGATAATTTACTTTTTACAATGAATATAATCAACAAATAATACCTCATCGACGCATAGCACTTGATTTTCAATAGAAGTTGATACAAGAATTTGGAAAGACTGATAAATAACGAATAATCCTCGAATTAAAGATATACGTATCTGTTTCCCGCGATTTTGAAGATGACGCAGGACGCAGGCAAAGAGGAGGTATAATATGTAGGGACCAGCTGAATCGATTATCGATTAGTACGATCAGCCGATGGAAGAATAATAGGGGTTAGGCTCGATTAATGAATTTCATATCAGAAATTATTTATAAAGTAATACTAGGTATATTATTTATTGTAATGCAAAGTCACGTGACAATAGTCAACGGTTTGTCATAACGCGATTACTGGAATGATCGAAATTGCTACTTTACTTCAGTACGATAATTTACTTTTTACAATGAATATAATCAACAAATAATACCTGATCGATGTATAGCACTTGATTTTCAATAGAAGTTGATACAAGAATTTGGAAAGACTGATAAATAACGAATAATCCTCGAATTAAAGATATACGTATCCGTTTCCCGCGATTTTGAAGATGACGCAGCAGGCAGGCAAGGAGGAGGTATAATACGTAGGGACCGGCTGAATCGATTATCGATTAGTACGATCAGCCGATGGAAGAATAATAGGGGTTAGACTCGATTAATGAATTTCATCTCAGAAATTATTTATAAAGTAATACTAGATATATTATTTCTTGTAATGCAAAGTCACGTGATAATAGTCAACGGTTTTTCATAACGCAATTACTGGAATGATCGAAATTGCTACTTTACTTCAGTATGATAATTTACTTTTTACAATGAATATAATCAACAAATAATACCTGATCGATATATAGCACTTGATTTTCAATAGAAGTTGTTACAAGAATTTGGAAAGACTGATAAATAACGAATAATCCTCGAATTAAAGATATACGTATCCGTTTCCCGCGATTTTGAAGATGACGCAGCACGCAGGCAAAGAGGTGGTATAATACGTAGGGACCGGCTGAATCGATTATCGATTAGTACGATCAGTCAATGGAGGAATAATAGTGGTTAGTATCGTTTAATGAATTTCATCTCAGAAATTATTTATAAAGTGGTACCAGGTATATTGTTTCTTGTATATACGTATAATTATCTCAGATTACACTTGAATTAGGTTGTTGCATAGGTTTTGTTCTAAAAAATTGATTGGTTTCTCGTGAAGGTAAGCTTTATCGTGCAGAGTTCAGTCATTTTTGTTCAGCTTGAAGTATTCTTATAATTTCAGAATGTCTGTGACTTTTTGACAGCTGTAATGGTGTTTTACCATTTTTATCACAAGGTTCTAATTCAATTTTACTTTTTTCACACAATATTTTAATGCAACTGACATTGCCAGAAAGATATGCTAAGTGCAGTGGAGTAGATCCAAAGTAAACTGGCTTTTGTAAATCTACTCCACTATACATGAGTAATTTTATTAGTTCTGCATAACCCTTATATGCAACCCAATGAAGGGCACTATCACTATTTGTATCTGTTAAATGTCCTAATGCACCGGACCCTAATAAAAATGCTGCTTTCCAAACATACAAGTGGTCATTAAAGGAGTTAGGCCTTTAAAATCTGCTGCATTAAGGCAACATTTGCCTAGAATAAATAAGAAAAAGATAATCAAATTGTAATTTTATATGCAATTGTAATTTTACTTATTTTCAATACCTTTAATAATAATTGAACTATCCCACTATGACCTTTCCAACAAGTCCAATGTATCGGTCTTGGTCCTTGAGTTCCAAGACAAGAAAGATCAACTGGTTTATTATTAAGTATCTCATTACCTATTGCATATAGGTTTTTATTTATAAATAAAAACGTAGCTTTTTCATTGTAATTGGTGTATGAATTTCAGAAAGTTAATTATACAAACTAACTTTAATGTTTTCATCCAGAGTAGCTCAACGGGCTGGGGTATATCCCCATTCAACCTTTGCGTTTAATACACTTCAACTATTCTTTTCTACTAACTCATTTTAAACATTACATTGTTTAATATTTCTTTAGCTTAGTTCACTGTTAATACAAACAATATTAGGATAACAAGTCTATTCCAAAATATTCCCAACAAATATGGTAGGAGACAATTTGTCTTAATCAGGGACAAAGAGGTTAACCGAGGAAAAGGAAGTTGATTGTGGTTCAAAGGCAAGATGTAGTTTAATTAAGAGTGCAGCGGGAAAGTACCAAGATGTCAACGAGTCTTTAAACGTGTTTTGGTTGTGAATTGGAACGTCCGCCTTACCAATTAACCCACTTTCGATTGATCAACAATTTTTATTGATTTAACGAATGGAAACGTACAATTCATATCGAGTGTACAACAAGGATCTTGTGATAGGTGTTGAAAACGAAATACAGAACAATTATGTGATTTTTAATAAAAAATGTATCTGCTGTATTATCACCGTAATTATAATACAATGTTACATGCCATAATTAACAGTCGATACAGTAACGAATTGTATCTACACCGCTGAATTATCCGCCTAGGGTTACAATAAAAATTAACACGATAATTATTTACGATTAAATAAAGAAAAAACAGTCTTTCGAGGTATAGCGACTTAATTACAACTGCGACGTGATTAATGCACGCATAGTACACGAACTTAGTCTAATTAGCGCTACGTGAGAAATTAAATGAAAAGGAAAGAATACTGATTATCTAAGAATAGTAACTCACGAAATGCCCCAAACGCTATACAAGCCTATGAAATCATTGTATCGCGTCTCGATTATGTGAAAATCGTATCTTAATTAATAATTAAATTAAGTGTACCAGACCTATGTCAATTAGTAATACGGCAATGTTCTTCTTACAATATTTTTTAGTTTTTACTATTTTTTTTTGTGAAACAGTTCACCGGCAGATAGTGTTAATACCCAATAAAAATTGGGACAAATATCATTCCAATATGACTCTGAGTATCCAATTACAGTCTCCGTTGAAATTTTCCGACAAACGCAGTGATTGCAGGCCGGTATTATCTCATTTTAGAAACTAACCACGATGATTACGATTCAATTGACGTTAAATAGTTGATGGTACGATTAATCACCTGTTACATCGAACTTACGTATCCATTTTTTTTTTTTTTTACCACGTAAGCTTAAAATCTATCCAAAGACTTAACTTGGCGAATTCTCGTTAGACGACTCCGTTCGATGATCGGATTTTGTTATCCGATCAAGAAACCGGAACGTCGAAAGAAGAATTGCCCTCTTTCTTCAGCGATCAGCAACACGAAATTGAAACGTGATAATATTATTATTAATCGTTTAAGTGAAAGCAATCCACGAGAATATGAAACACGGAAAATTCCGCGATGCTGTATCGAGTTCAACGCAAAACTTTCTCTATAATACTTACTCTCCGCGATTTACGTCACATCGGCTTGTTTCTTTCTACCTTTTACTATTCTACGAACGATACAGTTTCACGAATTCGCGTGTCACGTTGTTCTTATTCTCGCGATAGTCGTGAAACTAATGACACAGCAAACGCTGTTATCGATAACTTACAGAACGGGGGTACAATCTATATAGTACCGATTCAAAGTAACATTGATCGCGATTAACAACCATGCCTGTGATACCTATGTACCGATGTTATTCCTCATGAATAATCTCCAAACACCTCGTCTCGCAGCTGTGAGAATTTCAAACTTCTATTCGGTATCCCAGTTTAGCCGCGTCGGCCTGAACGTGTCTAATTAATCAAAGGTAATTAGGTCTGCTCATTCAATCCTCTCCTCGCTTGCGAGCTCTTGTGTCGATCCGCGCGCGACACGCAATGTTTCCATTTTAACAGCAGCCTTAATCCGCTGGATAGAAACGTAAAATCGCGCGTCCTTGGATCTCGGAATGGCATAATTTGCGAACCACGTCCATCACATCCTCGGCTGGATAGACGGTGTGCGGAGGTGGTTCGATCTTACCGGAAGCAACCAATTCAACCAATTCTCGGAGCTGTTCCAAGGAACCTGGCTCTACCGGTTTGATACTCTGTTGCCATTCCTCTGCACGTCTACTGAATTTCGGCAGAAGACGATCGGCTACATCTTTTATCACAAAGACGACACCTCCTTTGCTCAGGCATTGCATGCTACGATGAAGACTGCGCGATGTTATGCCGAAATCAATAACCACGTCCACGTGGCCCTGACACGCGTCCATCGTCCGTTCGATCAGCTGCTTCTCGTACAGACCCTCGCTCCATTGCACCACGTTTACGCTGTAAGGAAAGAGCAGACTGTTGGTAAATAAATCGAATGGACTGCTGGCTGGACGCAGATGCAATGGGAATTAATTCTACTCTACTGTGTTTCGTGGAAGTGAATAATATGTACAAATACAGGAAGGAAGATCGAACAGAATGTTGAATTACAGCTTGGACTCGGATTTTGAAAATTCTTCTGAAAATAAAAGTCTGAAGACATTCTGCGGATATTTTTCAATTATCCAACAGCTGTTCTATAATACTTCGAATATCTAGGACAGATTCCTCCTCCCTGATCGCAGTATCGGAAAATGGCTGTACATAAATAAGCTGCTGCTTCTATAAAGTATTCTAAAGCTGTATGTGCAAGTGACGTACACCGAAGCATGCTATATATACAGTGAAAATAACATTCAATCATAATAGAGTCAAATAAGATTTCAATTCAAACACGGAAAAGATTACAATTTTATGTAATATCGATTACGAGAAAAATCAACAAATATATGGAGCATATGTCAAGGATTGAACGCTATCGTAACAGCATTATCATCGGAACGTCGATACGGTCAATTTACTCAAGCAACGTAAACAAAATAATTTTGATAACGAGATCGAACAGGCGTTGTCAATGTTTTAGTTCAAAGATCAATGGGAGAAACTAAGGCTTCATTGAATTCACGTCATGCATCTAATGATATATTAAAAGCGACACAGTTTCAAGGAGTTATACCACCCTGAGGGATCTAAAAATAGGTCAAATTTAATAAGTAAATTTTGTCTATTTTTGTACTCAAGGTGATGCTTCTTCTTAAAAGAAAACCTACTCCCCACATCTATTTCTCTGAACATTTCAACATTTCTCCAAAGAATATCGATTTCGAAGACATAACAACATATCCCAGCTTCCTACACCTACGCAACATCAATGCCATAATAAACGAGTCACCATAAACAACTCACCGTTGGAATTCCTGTGCCATGGTTAATCCATCATCCTTCAAAGAAGCAATAGTGATAGTAACCCTATCCCTCATGTTGCTGAAGTAATATGCCGCGATTCTAAGAGCCCAGAGTGCCAGACCACCGGTACCAACGATTAAAATCTTGCAGACGCTCGTTGCGTCTCTTTCCTTCAGCAATTGCTGGACATGTTCATGAGCAGCGAAGACGGTATTCATGGCTAATAAAGCTCCAGCGGGTAACATGGCTGCGACACTGAGGCTAACGTTGTCGGGTAGCTTTATGAGATATTTAAGATCGTGGACGACGAGGTATTCAACGTATCCATTGGGTATGCCCTCGTAAGGATAGAGGATCACTCGATCTCCAATGGAGTAGCCGCAGTCTTCGGGTACATTGGCCCCAAGAGATTCGATTACACCTGCAACCTCGTATCCAGGGAAGAGAGCCGCATCCCGGACTCCGTGATGCGGCAAGGAGAGCGGAAAATCTCCTTCTAATGAAACTTCTGTTGCTAAACTGCTACTGCTGGAAACGGAAGTCAGGCTGGATAGACTCGGTGAACGACGGGGATGGTAACAGGCTCCTGCACACATCACTCGGATACGGGCACCGTTTGCGGGCACATCCGGGACAGGAACATCGAAACTGAACACCCATTCGCGACCTGTTACGCTGGGGCTCTCGATGGACACTTGTCTGCATAATTTGTTCATCTTTTCCCTGAAATAAAAGAATTTCTTATATTCTTCTGTGACGAAATTCAGGCGATTCTGAAGAAAAATTCATAGAAATGAAGGAAACGAAAGACTTTTTGAACGTTTCGCCTACTGCTAGTGGAAAGTTTCAAGAGACGTCTTCTCGCGATTGAATTAGAAGCTACGCGCTCGGGGTTTCGAACAGCCACAAGCGGAAGCGCGCTGTTAATCGTGCTTGGTGTGCTAGTCAGCTGTCGCTTCCTTTTTTGCACACACATACGTCGAACGTTCTATGCTTTTACTCTCGTACAAAGGTATATGGTTAGTGAATTTCGAAGCGTTGGTATAATAATAATACTAAAATTAGAAAATTAACTGATCTTATCACCAATAATTAGCGTTTTAATGTCCCTCGTTAAAAACATAAATTTCCAGTATAACTATTAGCTCGTTATCTCATTCGTAAATAATTACTTTGCCCACGCGAACGATCGCGTTTCTAACAATGAACAAACGCCTGAGCCAGTGTAAAAGGGTTAAAAGCAAAAGTAACAATGAAACTCGTGCGTACCCGTTGCAAGGTGAACAGGGTTTATGAGTAATCGGTGCCACTGATTCCAATTCGATAGGCATTCTGTGTTACAACAATTATCTTCGCCTCCACAATTCCCAACGATTACAGTTATTCCTTCGTCTCTTTTCGTAACTCTTCACAAAATCAACTGAGATTTTCTCAGTTCGTACACGCTCGGAACGACTCAAATACACGCGATGCGCACTCGATTCGACCGAATCGTTTTAACAATTGAAAGAAAGAAAACAAAAAGAGTTAAATGAAAGGGTAAACAGCTGATAAAGACAACTCTTCTCGCTGACTGCAAGAGACGCACTAAACGAACGCGTCCACGCTCGTTCACTTTTATACCGTCACGGGCTTTCTCGTTCGGGCTTCGTGTTAGTCATGGTAGGCAGGAAAGACGCCTTGGTAGGGAGCTGAAGAAACGGAACGTGAACAGGTACGAGCATTCGCGAACCACGTGCAACCTCTGTTTTTCTCCTCCAACAACGCTCGCACGTTCCTCCAGTGCGTCGTGATAGCCGCATGAATGAGGCACCGATAAATCGTATTTTTGTTTCGAATCCCGACTCGATTTAACTCTTGGAAACGGCTTGACGTTCTGGGATTCTGTGCGTTACAGAGGTATTTCTTATTCCGTCCCACTTCAAGAGATACTTAAAATAACGTGGCCAACACTGGAACAACGCGGTACCCGACCGTGATCTCTGTATTTTATTAACCCATTTGCATCAGAAACGGATGCACCCGTTTATTTTAGCGGAGTGTTATCGCGGAAGTCGGCGCATCCGCGTCTAATCAAGGATAGGTAGACATAGAAATATTGTGATAATATTATTGTATTAGATAGGAGCTGTAATCACCACTCGGAAAGTTACACTCTATTCGTCATCATCCGCGTGTTACATCTTAATTCTTTGAAAAACGATTTCGAGAGAACAATGCTTTGTATCGTTCATCGAAGGTACTGATATTATAGAAGTACGTCTAGCATTGCTCATAGCGTAAACGAATATGTAGGTACATTCCTGATACGCGTTATCGCAAGAACGACGTTAAATATAGAAAGTAATTATTACTATTGCTTTATTCTGGACACGTTAGTCATATTACTTGAATTTGCTTCAATTATTCTATTGTGGTATATTTGAGTCGTAGGTCATCATTGACCCCCACAGCTGTGGTTAACGTGTTAAGAGGCACAGAGATGATCCTTGCTATCAATTATCAATTTCTTACATGGGCCACGACACGTATGCACGTCTCGATATAGACGCATCTCAGAGATTCGTGGTGCTTTGTTTTAATGCAAATAGTGCTCACCCGCACGTCGTCGTGTTTACATCTGAAATGATGATTTCATTCTTATATATATAAGCAATACTGACCCTTCGTCATATTTTTATTATACAACGTAAATTTCTATTGAATAATTCAGATAAGATTTGTCTTGACGCAGTTAAATTCATTTTCTGTATTCGTTACGTGAACTTACGTGATTATTTCAAAATATCGATTTGAAATTACGCGGGTATCCACGCTGGTGTTGATAAGAAGTGATAACGATCGATTCATAATATTTGTGACTAATTGAAAGCATGTGTTGTACACGTGAAACGGAGTGAAAAACATGTTTACCGTGAGGAGGTAACAGTCATTAAAATGAAAAGAAGTCTTTTGGTGAGGCTGTACACAATGATAGTGGAAGTAAATGGAACAATTGATTGATTGTTCTAACTATCATTTACCCTGATACGAGACTATGGAGGTTTCAGAGCAAATTGGCAATTATTTATAAAAAAAAATAAAATAATTTTGATATCATTCAAGTATCACAGCGCAAATACTGTACTTAATTTGGTATTACACAGATTTACGTCTGGGTCTTGGATGATTCAACATCTGTTGGACAGAGGTTAATTAACTCTAGGGTAGCATAATGTATTTTTTATTTTTACTTGAAATATTTATATAAACATCTTCACTCTAGTAGTAATTAAAATATTTATCATTAAAGAATGCATCTTTTTGTAAAATATCTCTATCCTAGGGTTTATATTTCTTCGTAATTTCTTAGATTTCACTCGAGTTGAATATAATTAACCCATTCACTGATTTGAACCAAGTATTATGAAAAAGAATGGTTCGTTACGAAACAAAGAACCTTCCATGCTTGCATCAACATGAGAGTTAATTGAATAGGAGCTAGAACTGTAATCAAAGTGCACTGATAAAACTGCAAACTATAAATCGTGACCTTATCATAATTATCAACATCTCCATGGTCACCAGAAAGTTAATTGAAAGGTTAATTAAAAGAAGTTCAGTAAGCTATACAGTAATTGCAACGATGCAAGGTGGTCGTTTCGTGATAATATCAAATGATAACGACAACGCCTACATTTTTCTCATTGATTAATTAATTTACTTTTGTTCATTTATTATACTGTAGCATCGTGTAAATGATACATGGGTGGGATTTTCGCATTATAGATAAATTTTCAATCACGTCGAATATGCGGAACTGATGAGTATTATCGCGGAAACGCTTGTTTCACAGAAAAGATTGCACAGACAAATAATAGAAATGTTTAAAAATCATATTTCATAAAGATTCTCATGATTATTTTTACTCCTACTAAAAAAGAACGAGGACTCTTTAGGTTGTTGCATACCACATGATTTCGAAACATACCTACGAGGTCTGACACGATTTCATAACATAAAAATACCGCAAAATGGCACTTATGGTACATCAATTTAAAGCTTAAAGTATGATAAAAATGATCACATAAAGGTTCCATCGGTATTCTTAATATAAAACGAGTGGTTGTTGATTGTAACAAACAATGACCGTCGAGTTTACAGGTAGGAAATACTAGATACTATGAGAAACGCATTGTTCTCTTGGTTTAAAAAAAGAACAGTTGCAGAAATAGCCAATTAGCCGCATTACGATATCGTCCTTGGTTTCAAGAAAGAACAGACTGTCTCATGCGATTCCCGTCTTCGAAGATCTTTATTATTCACAGGAAAGAAAACAACACCGTTATTTGCATCTCGTACGATATTTCAATCGTACATCAATTGCTTATTGATCCCGATTGGAATAAAATACGGTCCCTTTATTGTATTCTTCTTAATAAGACCTCACTTCGTACAGGCTTCAATCATAATTATCCAACTATACCAATCTGGTTTTTTCCACCTTTCCTTACATAAGAGTTTGCCTAATACAATTAAACAGTTATTAAGCACTTATTTTTTAAAGACGTATATATACGTTCGTCACAGCGAAAGGGTTACTGTCACTCCCTTAGCTAATATTTGGCACACGTAACAGCATATGTGTTGTTGATAAAACTCTTTCAACGATATTTGCTCAACGATTATTCAACTATTAAATATTTAACAAACGACTGCTTAATGATTATTTACTCAACGATTAGTGAATGTCTCTTACAATAATATTTCGTTGTATTTATCTGGATACAAAAGTTGTTTCAGAGATTAACTAATTAAAATTGAAATAGATAATTTCAACTCTAATTTAGTTCATTGCTATATTTCTATATTTCTTTTAATATATTTTAAATACTAAAAAAAGAAAATGAAATATTATAGTGTTTTTCATCACAGATGTCTGTCGTAAAAGGGGAGAAATAAAATTCAGTAATGCTGAATCAATATAACAATCAACTCGTTGAAATCAAAGCCTATCATTAATTACAGAAGATTAGTGTCAAAATAGATACGTCTTTTTCATTCTTTTTCGCGATACGTTATCGCAGAGACACCTTATCTGGAATCCTCGCGATTGATTCCATCGATGATTCAAAACTACTGAGGTATTATTTAATAATCAATATTCCAGAAATAATTGGAACTACAAAACGTACTGTTTTGTGTATAATACGTCAATTTAAATGAAAATTATGCTCGTTCATTATCCACCGTTAGTACCAAGGAAAAACCTAGCTGAAATTTTGCAAAGCAATTAACGGCATTTTTACCTGTATTATTTCATGCAATTACGTTTTTACTATGTGATTAGTTTAGCGGAAACTATTGATTGCTAGTATCACAGGAATCCATAGAAAAAGTTTATATAATTGGAAGAATTTTTTACAAGTCTATTTAGAAAAATAATTCCTAAAGAACCAGTTATTTTGAACACACCCCAATTATTTTTCTCTATAACTTTCTAAAAATTCTACCCCAAAAATTGAAATTCGAAACAATAATTTTACAAATTTTTCAGACGAAACAGTTCAAACTCATGTGTCTTCAAGGAACAAAGAAATTCTGGCAAAGAGATCGAAATAAGGAATCTCGATTGTATTCGATTTATCATTTGCAAAATATAAAAGCCTCAATTTTAAAAATAGTCGCAATCCATTTTATCATTATCAATCAAATTTAAAAATATCAGAATAGTATTACTAGCTTCAAGCGCACTGTTTACGCCGATTCTATCTCTACCTGATTTATGATTTTCGTATTTTATATTTCTTTTTCCAGGTTGTTTACTGTATTTTAAAATCATAAACATGTTTACAGCGATTGAAAAAATTATTTATCTCTGAAGATCAAGTAGTGGTTTCGTTTATAGATTAGACTCTAGATCATTTTTTGTCTGAAATCGAAGGACAAGATATTTTGCAATTTTAATTTCACGATTGAAATCGTCATCCATGCATTTGTGATGAAGTAGATGACAAATTGTAATTTTCCAAGTAATTATGACGGTAAATTCAACCGTTACAAATTGAAAACCGAAGGTAATTGCGAGCAGGAAATTTTTGATTGGGTTTTTACTTGGGCATGTTATTTCGTTCTTTCGAATTTGCACCCTTTTTTTCGATGACGTGAATATTTTAAAATAGACGTGAAACAACACGCAGAAGCCTTTCTAAATTTGCACACCAAGATATTTGTATGATACATGATCATAAATCAATCGTAAGATGAGAAAAACAGATCTTTGACCGAAAGATGCGCTCTTACCATGAACTGATTACATTTCTGATCAAGAAGGAAACAGTATAATAACCGGTTTATTCACTTTCCAAGATGCGGTCACTCATAAGTGCTTGCAATTAACTCTATAAAATGAAAAGTAGAGAAGAGTGATTATGTTACAGGCATAATTTATTAAAAATTTTAATTTTATTATTTTTAGGAAAAGGCCGATGTAATTGTTATATTATTATTATACCATCCATGACACTGAATAGGGGTGGACTTGCCCTCCAAAATAAAAATTGCTTCTCCCTCCCAGAGATTAGAAGAAATTAAAAAAAAATATTTGTCAATGCAATTAGATACAAAATTG